TTTAATCGTTAAAAAATCGGTAAAAAGTAATAGAAATTGACAGATTTTCATCTCTATTTTGAAATTAACTCTCAAATTTAATCGCTTTTTATCGGTTTCTTAACGTACTAAAATACTTTTAGTAGGTACGTATATTTATTTGTTAAAAAAAAAACAAATCGATGTTTTTGACTTAAGACCTTTTTACTTATCAGTACAGAATTGATATATGGGTTATATTAAATTTTACAGAAAAAAAATACAATTCATACAAAACAGATCTACATAAAAACCATTAGTTTTAATAATTACTTTGTTTCTCAGTCTAACTATAACTTTACTACTGTAAACGACTTCCTAATTACTTTTCTTAGTGTACTAAGTAGTTTAACTGTTATTCTTCCTCCGAAATTTCTGTCATACGAACATTAAAGGTACGACAAAGCTTTCGCTTCTTATTGGGTGGTGTATTCTGTGGTTTTATTATACAATCAAAAATCAATTAGACTACAATAACAAATTTGATTTTTTGTGACTTTTTTTTAGTAACATTATTGTCACTGAAAATTGTACAATTTTATGCATAAAGCTTACAAAAAGACAGAAAATAACAATAACAATTAAAATTTACTAAAATTACATAATTCGCCAATATCACAAAATAAAAGATAATAAAATAACCAATCCATTGCAAAATTTAATTAAATTGCAAATTACATAATAAAACATTACGAACTAAAAGTTGAAGTTGCTGCATGTGATACCCAAATATATTATATAAAATACTTTAGTTACTGATACATAAAGCCACTGTAATTTAGTAGTTATTTGTTAAGAAATCTTCTACTGAATAATATGGCCTTTCAGATAGATAGGCTTTTGTCATTGTACGGAACTTGGAAAAATATGTTGCAGATTTAAGTTGTAAAGGAAGAAGTTTGTATAGCTCTTTTTTGGAGAATATAATATAGATTTCTTTACTAACTCAGTGGACGGGATCGGTAAATAAACATGAATGGTTCAATTTCTGGTGGAGTAGTCATGATTAGGTCTTGCTAGAAAAACATGTATGTGTTTACGAATTAAGCAAACAGTTTCTAAAATATATAAAGCAGTAAGCGTTAAAATTCCGTGATTTTTGAAA